AAATAGAAAGAAAAAGATAATAAACAAAACTTTACCTCTTTTTAATTTTACACAATAGTGGTGAGTGGTCCTTGTCCTTCTTTGTCTAAGCTACTAATTTTTTTTGAAAAATGAAGTGCATTTCGGTGGTGAATTATAGAGAAAAGAGTAAAGTAAAAATAAAAAGGACAAAAAAGAGGAGAAAGAGAAAAAGAAACTGAGAGAAAGAGAGAAAGTTGTAGAGAAACTTAAAAATTAAGGTACAGTTGAGTAAAGAGTTGTGGGGTCATTTTGTTATTTTTTATATGTACTAATTATTAAATAAAAAAATTATTTTGAGAGGACCATTAAAAATTACATAGAATAAATAAAAAATTTTGAAAATTTCGAAGGGCCCACGGCTCTCATAAATATACTACCTTTTTTTCTCGATTAAAAAATATATAATAAATAAATCAATTTAAAATTTTTAAGAGGCAATGAACTACCCTATGCCGTTGCATCTAACCAAAAAAAGATTTGATTACCATTCTTGATGGCTAACCCAATTCTTGATGTCACGTGGGAAAAACATTTACTATTTATCTCAAAAGGGCTCAAGATGTTATTCGAAACTTTGGAGAACTTTTTACTTTGCCAAAATGTAGGAACCAATTTATGAAGTTCATCACTATTTTTCTCCACAATGATGCATCTCCATAAGTTGTCTTGTTTGTTTTTGTGTTTCCGAACCGATTTATGTAGTAAGGCCTTGTTTTTCACTAGAAAATCAATAAACTTGAATTTGTCATGCTCCTCAGACCTAATCACTATCTTCCACTTCACAAAATTGATTCTCGAGGTCGAGGATGCTCTACGTCACAGTCCTAGCATGACTCTCAATGAATGATACAAGGCATATAAGGATTCATACCACCTTTAGCCTATGAGGTATCTTTTGTGTGACAAAATCGTGAAGCCAGTGGACCAGAGTGGATAATACCTTATAGGGGTTGGTGTGGACCGTAACATTTGGTATCAGAGCAGACTATGAGTACTAACAATGTGCCACTGAAGACAGTGGACCCTTGTTTAAGTGGAAAAGAATGTCACGGTCCTCGCATGATTCTCAGTGAGTGATACTGGGCATATAAGGGTTCACATCACCTTTAACTTGTGAAGCACATTCTGTGAGACAAAACCGTAAAGTTAGCGAACTAAAGCGGACAATACCTCATAGTGGTTGGTGTAGACCGTGACACTCTACATAGAATTTTCTTCGTATTTTGTCTAGCTTATCTTTTACCCCTTGGGACATTTTACAAAGAGACAGAAAAAATAGAGAGACTTACTAATCACTAACCATAATAATGTGAATTTTCCCTTAATAGAGAGAAGCTTAGATTTCCAAGTAGTTAGTTTAGCTTAAATGTCTCCACTATAGATTTTCAAATTTTCAATGACTTTTAGTAAGCCCCTGAAAGGTTGCCCAATTAGAAAGTAGGAAGCTTACCAACCTTACAAGATATTCTATCTACCTAGTAGCCTCAGTTTGTTCATCAATACAAATGCCAAAAAGTAGCTTTTCTAAAAATTGATTTTGAACCTTGAAATAATATGGAAACATCTTATAACTTTTTTAATGTTCACCAAGTTGTCCCATTCTATTTTGAAAAATATCATGTTGTCCTCGACGTAGTAAGGGTATGAGATTGTGAGTCAATTATTCTCAATGTTGATTCCTTTGCACATTTCTTCCTCCAATACTTTTCTCATAATGGCATTCAAAGGCTTTCATTACAATATTAAAAAAAAAAAGATATAGGTCATTTTTACCTCAAACCTTTACCCATTTTGAATTGTCTCATCAATGAGTCGTTAACGAGCACTAGTATCTGAACAATTATGACATAGGCCTTCATCCATCTATGTCATCTACTCTCGAACCTTATCTTACACATAATCAATTCAAGGAAGTTCAAGTTCACACTATCATAGGCTTTCTTCAAATCTACTTTGAGAAACGCCCCATTTTTATTATCTTTCTTAATAAAATCAATTGTTTCATTTGAGATCAACATGTAATCTATAAGTTACCTACCTTTTATAAACGTAAATTGATTACAACTAGTTACCTTACGTGCTGCTCAACTATGTGGAAAACTGTTATTAATCCCTTTTCCTCTACTAACAAAATTTTCTTGTAGGTTTCGTTTTCTTGGAGTGATAGTGAGAAGCGATAAATGTATTGCACTTTGGTTTGATAAATAGTTGGATTATATGCTGCTTAAAGATGTCTATCTAAGAATTTTTGCTCTTTCAATCAACAATTAGGGAAAATTAGTGGACTTTGGTACTTGGGAAAATAAAAAGTGACAATGAAGATGGAGTTAATGAGACAATTGTTTGGGTGGTAGGTTAATTAGTAGTCTTATCTGTGGAGTAAGCTAATGGAGCAGACATTGAGTGAAAATTTGCATGGAGTTATGCGGAGAAAGATGGCTAGTAAGATCTATACAGCCAAATTATTTTGCAAGAAAGTTGACAATAGTATAGATAAAGAGATGGGATATGGAAGCAAATTTAGGGAGGGTTATGTACTATGTCACAGGCTCATGTTTTCAAACCAAAAGACATGTTTGATAAGTTGAAGAAAGTCTTTGTTTATATGTTTAAGACCCACTCCATCTCTTATTGATGTAGGATCCATGATATTCTACCCATCCAATTATGTAACGCCTTCATTGTATTGGCTTTTTACCCATAAACAGGTCTACTTCAATCATTATATCTTTTATTGAGTCCCATATTAGGACAGATTTAAGTCTGCTTTGATATCACTTGTCACGGACTCATATTTTCAATCAAAAGACATGTCTGACAGATAGAGAAAAACTCATGTTTATATACCCAAGACCCACTTCATCTTTTACAAATATGAGATTCATCACATATCACATAGAATTAAAAGTTTTTTACAAGTAACTGATGCTTAGGAAAATTGCTTTCAAATGGAAATGGGCTAGAAGGGGTCTTGTGAGACATGAAATGACTATTTACATTTTATGTAAAAAAAAGTATGACATTGTTAAACACCTTTTTTTTAGTGTGACAAAGCCTGGAAAAGATTTTTGAGCTTTGTGGTGTGACAAATGGAGCTACAAGTGGACTAATTTGAGAGACAAACCCTTCTTCTCAACATAGGTCTTGATAATCATTAAAAAGAGTGAGAGGAAAATCTTGGTGATGGCCTTCTTTGCAATATCTTGGTCTCTTTAGTTGTTCTCTAATGATATGGTGTTCCAAGGAAAGACATGGATCGATCCTAGGAAGCTTTTTGTCCTGATTAAACTTAGAATTGCTATGCAAGTTAAGGCAAAATGGACTAATGAGAACAATTCTACCTTGACATCAATGGCTCTCCTATGAATACCATGGTTTTGGGGAAAGCTAAGAATGCAAGATTGATGACAATTTGGACCTTCCATCCTTTCATTGTTCTAATAGGTCTCTTCTACTGTTTATTGTCATTTTTAGTTGAGACCATTTGTTACATTCATAGGTAGCTTCCTTGATAAAGATATGTCTCCATCAATCCTACGGTTGTTTCTCATACTATTTACCATTTGCAATGCCCCTTTTTGCTTATAGCTCACAAAGGTAAACTTTGATTGTCCATTAAGGCAGTTCTTAATGACGATCTCCATCCGTCCAAATAAACAATTTCCTTTCGCCTTCATTACCGTTCTCCTTCATCGGCCAAGTTCCTGTTGTTCCTCCCTCAGAACGCTGACACCTTTACATTTTTCTACCTAATTCAGAGATTTGGGTAGACATATGAAAGATTATTGGATGTTATCAAAAGGAGCTTTTGTTTTGGGAAAATTTCCGACAATCAATTTATGTACATAAATTGTAATTAATTTATCATGAAGGTGATGAATTTTTTAAAAAAAAATTACAAGAAAACAAATGATTATTTAGTAGTAGAATTTGTCATTACTTGTTTATGAAATAATTAAAACCCTATATATATATATATATATATATTATCGTAATATGTTTAAGAAAACAAGATAAAATAAATCAAAGCTAAAAGAAAATCAATATGAAGTTGAAGAAATGACCCACACATGTGGCAAAGGCAAAAGTCAAATTGCCTAGGCCCAGAGTAGGTCCTTACCAAATACTATTCAATTTTGAAGGATATACTCCTCCTACATGTATATATATAATATGTTTATATATATATATATATATATAAAATGCCTAAACTAAAGACCTTAAATGGGTAAGGTTCAATTTTGAAATCTTATATTAGAATCCTAATAAGAGAAGTATTAGAATTGATGTTATGAACCCTCTCTTGTTCTTGAGCTTCCTCATATGTGCCAAATAAAAAAAAGGTTCCTCGTGCGTGTGCGTGTATAGTCCAATTCCGAATTCAATTGACAAGCAAAACCCAATAAATCATTTAAAAGTTGCATTATTATTCATATGTTTATCTTTTAGATCATTGGTTATTCAACTTTAATCTTTTTTTATATATAAAAAATTGTAATTTTTAATTTTTTGATTTTTTATTAAAAAGAAAAACCCCTTATTAAGATTCAGGAACCCCTTCATTTTTTTTTCCTTGGTTTTTATTCGGAATAATGGCAATATTTAATTTCTTGAAAGAGAAGGCTTATAAAACAAGGCAAATCTAAAACATATATATATATATATATATTTTAAATTTAGGGTAGGTGGCTTTTCAGCTAATACACATAAAAATACAGTGTCCACAACGGACTTTATAATATGGGTAGAGATATCAGTTCATATCTCATCTTATACCTGATCGAGGATTATAGGGAATCTTGACATATTCGGCCCCATCCCAAGATCTCACACCCTAACAAACGTATCCACTGCTTTTGCCTGCCCTCTTTTGCCGCCTAGGCAGAAAAGCTTGCCTCTTATCTCAGACAAAAGCTAAAACAACATCAATACAAAGCAAAGGAATAGCTCCCCATAAATGCTCCCTTTACACCAAGGCAATGGATGAGATGTTCTTCCAGGTTTCTTCCAACTCCGACCCTCAGAACACAACCCCACAGGATAAGATTTTGGATTTTGCTCTTCCCGTGGATGGGACTAGTAATCTGTCCAGCAATATGGGAAGTAGAGGCCAGCAACGAAAATTATGGGCGAGTGACAAGAGCGAAAATAGTAATGATGATAATAAGAAAAAGTTGATGCATAGGGATATTGAAAGGCAAAGGAGGCAAGAAATGGCCACCCTTTATGCCTCTCTTCGAACTCTACTCCCTCTTGAGTATATCAAGGTGAACAGCTTGTATCTAACTTAATCTTCTTCTTACATATGTCCAATTATGCAGATTACTTTTCAGAACTTAATCAAATTAATGGATATATACCCATTTTTGCTTTTTTACATCAGTACTGCTATAGCTGCTTACTATTTTTTTCTTCTTCTTCTATGATTGAAGAAACTGCACTCTGGGTTTGGCATAATTATGAGTTAGGGTTACTTTCATGGGGTTTCAGGGAAAGCGTGCAATATCAGATCATATGAATGGGGCAGTGTGCTATATAAAAGACCTGCAGAAGAGGATCGATGAACTGAGTGCTAAGAGAGATGAGTTAAAGAAGCTATCCAATTCGAGTTGTTTTGACCAAGGGATGAGCTCGAACGACTCTTTCCCAAGCAGTGTTGTCGTTCGCCAATCTTTGAATGGTGTTGAAGTTGTGATCAGCACTGGCCTTGGAGCTGAAGCTTTGACCCTCTCAAGAGTGTTAGAACTACTGCTTGAGGAAGGACTTGATGTTGTTAGCTGTATTTCCACCAGAATTGATGGAGGACTGATTCATACCATCCAATCTGAGGTATAAATCATTCATTAACTACTAGGTACAGGAGTTCTTTTATGGTGATTAGGCTTCTAACCAAGTGCAACCCTTTATTTGGCCGCCACAGGTCAGTGATCTGACATACGTTAATGTACCTGGGCTGGAACAGAAACTAAATGAAGAAATTTCATCCTTGGGTCAAATTTCCTAGCTACTAAACCATATTTTGGTGTTGAAGATTCTTCCCATCACAGCTCCCACCTTTTGATTATGATTTGAGTGAGGTTGGTCTTTTGCTATTTAGTATGACCCATACGATGCATCCAATATTCTACCAATATTTGCGAGGTCTTTTGCTTTCAGAAAAACTAGGTAGAAATTTGAGTATCAATATAGTAGATCGTCTCTGAATATCTCCAGAAACGAAAATGGTCTAGTTCTTTATTTGTATTGCACATTTATTTTTCCCGTTATCACATGTACCATAGGAGTGGAGTTTATGTGGTGTACTTGTTATCAGATTCTCCCTTTTTCAGATAAATGAAGTGATAAACTAGATACACTTTGTCTTACATATTCATTGCATGCATGTTCAGGAGAACTAGATTTAACTTTATTCTTAATCCAAAACTTTTTTATGCTGTATTTAGCTCCACCTTATATACTGATATCAAAGTCTCAGGATGGCTTTAGTTATGTGTTTTATAGGGTAGTTTCAGCTCTTAGAGAGGTTTGGTTGCTGTATAATTAGCCAAAACTTATATATTTCTCATATGTGGTTGACTAGAAGCTGATCAGTCACCTATATAACTCATGATGAAATCCATCCACAATCAAGTAGAATAGTCCTTAGCTCCTTAAAATAAACATGATTAGAAGATTTACAATCATATTATGTGGATAATGTACAAATTAAATATGCTATTGGAGTTTTACTTTCCATAATGTACAGATTATGGAGGATTATTGGAGAGTCTTTAATGAAATTGAAAATTATTGGAGGATTATTGGAGAGGTGGAATTGTGTCGTACTCTTAGAGAGGCGAACGCACTTGTGGATTCGTTAGCCAAACTTGAGGTGGATAGTGAGGAGATGTTTTTGGCTTGGTGGTAGTTGCAAAATGAATTTTTGCTATGTTGGGACATTCTGCTACTTGGATCCTGGATTTGTCGTTTGGTTCTATGTTGTGAAACAGGTCTGGTCTTTTATTGTTTCCTTGCGTGTGAGCTGTTTGTTGTTCGAAGGCATTTGGAGGTTTATTTGATAGAAAAAAAATATGCTTTTTTTAATCTCTAGGTGGTTTCCATTATTTGATGTTGCTATGTGTTGGCATCTGTTTGTAATCACTAGGTAATTGTCCTTGAGAAGATTCTGGGCTGCTTTTTTCTTTTGGTTCTGCTGCTAAGCAGTTCCTTTGATGTACTTTGTCTTTTGATTATCAATGAATTCAGAACTTGACCGAGCCAATAAAAAAAAAATTTACAGATTATGAGAAAGTTTACCTAAATTCAACAGCTGCTGTTGCAAGCTGCATTAGGTTCAACAAAGGATATTTCATCCAACAAATGAGAACAAAATTTGGATAGAAAAACTTAAATGAGCTGTTCAAACTTCTAACATACCACCAGCTTGTATTAAAGAAATTGCATTATCTTCACAAGTTGTAGTTGGTTGATAGAAGAATAACTTTCAAACATTCAAGAGATTCAAGTGATTTGAATGAAATTTGTTTTTATATATAAATTCTCTCGATACAATTTTTCTGAGTCCAATTTCTATATTTTATTTCAAAATTGTAAACCTTTTTAGGAGGTTGCTCCTACATGCAATGTGTTGGGGTCTTGAAGAGAGCAAAGAATTAATTAGGTGATATGAGCATTTGTTAATTGCAGAAGTTACATTGTACCGCATGCCAAACATTTTTTCAGTGGGAACTGGTGTAGATGATCAATAGCTAGTCAAAAGATTGTCGGCATCATGAGTTATGTCAAATTTAATTTGGAGCTGCGATTCATTGGCAATATTCATGTGCTAAGAGAGTTACAATATTTTCTTATTGCATATCATAGCTGATAAATAGTTAGTGAAAAGAGAGTGCATTTATATAACATATAGGATCTAGTTAATTAAAGTCATTCTGGGAAACCATATACAGATTTTCTGCATTAGGGGTGTGTGGGATATGGATGTAACCATGCATGAGCTTTTCATGTCATCAATGGAGGCAGCGGCTCCAATTATTAATACTCTTCCAACTATTCAAATTAAGGTATGTCTATCCAAATACCTTACAATGTTCATGGTCGAAGACATGGCATTGAACTTATTTACAAAATATTGCCTCCTATACCATTCATTTAAAAATGATATCTCTTCTTCTAACTCTTTGGTTCTTAAAACTGTAAAATCCAATTTCAAATACTTGATACGATTTTATTTATTATGTTTTTTCGAATGAATTTATTGATTAACCGACCACTTCTCAATCTGAAACCTTTTGCCATATGTACCAAAAGAATTAAAAAAGGTAAATCTTTCACCTTTTTGATGATTATAAAATTTTTTAAGGTATTCATCACATGGCAAAATGATATTTTTTTTAATTTGTTTATGGCTGTTTTGTCTTAGATTTTTCGGAATAGAGCACAGATAACAGCTAAAAGACAAAGAAATGACTTGAAATTATCTTCAAGCTATCATTTAACCTCTGCCGCCATCCTCAAAGGCAGAGGGAAAAGAATCCAAAACAGGAAGTGTATAGTTCATACTTGGGCATGCATGTTTAACGTTTTCTTTTTAAAAGAAGTTACCATTATCTTCATTATTTTAATTATTCTAAACTAAGTGCCTCCCTCTGCCTAATTAATTGACCAGAAATGCCAACATTAGAGAAAGGTATAATCAAGTTATAGCCATGGATGATGGACACCTCTGGTTGGAGTTTCTATTTGTTTCTATTAGGAGACTTGAATGGTTATTTATAATAGGGATTGCGTGCAAGGGTGAAGGTAGTGGCCACTTCACTATATATATATATATGGTGGACCATGAGAAAAATTGACAGTATTCCACTTTTCTTTTCTTTTTTTTTAAAGTTTATTTTCATTTTTCAATTTTTTTTTGAGAAGATTCGTTTTTTAACTTGTAAGCAATACTTGGCATGGTTTCTTTTTTTTTTTCAAATAATTTTTATTAAATTTCCAAATGTTCATGGCGGCACTTACCCAAAAGAATATTTGTTACAGAGAAAGTGATGTTTGATTTTTTAAAAAAAAATAAAAAATGGTAGTGATGTTTGAAATTAAGAGCGAGTTGATAGCAGTAGACATATAGAAGATATAGAAAGAAAAATTAGGAAGTTAAAATTGAGCAATGGAATGATGAATAAAGAGAACTGAAACAGAGTAGCAAAAAGGAAAGACAAAGGAGTAAAGTTGGAAATTAAGAAAAATTATATAATATAATCATTACCTTCTCATTGAATTTTTTTTTTTTGTTGTTGAAAGATCCATAATTCTATTAAATCAAAGACAAAAAGCAATTCTCCTCAAAACATACAGCAAATATTTTGGGTAATACCTAAGCATAGTCTACAACATTGGGTATACCCACTCAAAATCACAGCATCCAAAACAGCAGGCTTAACAGCCTTATACATATAGTTTTTCTCTTAAGTTAATTAGTATTGCTCTTATTCGTACTATCTTCCAGTATACATACAAATATATATATATATATATATATATGCCATATGTACTGATATTCTGATTCACTAATTAACTAATTAACTCAATCGTAGATAAATTATGACTGATATTTTGATTCACATCTCCATCTTTAGGTTGCTGGCTTCAGTGGAAAGGATGTTGATCTTCCATGGTCAAATGCCACATTGTAAAGATTTAGCAATTCAAATTGGCCCAATAACTGAAACCCCTTTTGCGCTTACATTCTTCTTCCTTTTTTTTCTTCAATTGCAAGTACCACGCTGAGATCATTACCTGCAATTGGAGTGTGACCTTTTCCACCAAGAATTGCAACATACTCGACCGTATACCAAGATTTTGACTCAACCGTTATGTCTTTTTCAACGCACTCATTCTGCCTTTCCCCTATTATTATTGAGTCCTTGTTGCCGACGAGTTCTAGATTTGAATCGCCAAGTGCCATAATGTCTGCCTTCTACCTTGCTTTTTCGGGTCACAATGGCAGATAGGAGCACGCTTCTCCTAATTTCCTCCTTCCTAGTAGCCCACCCAACACGTCAGCTAGAGAGAAAGTGTTAGCTCTGCTCCATCTTGTTTCACCCTCCATCACCCCATTTGCCCAGATAACTTTACTCCCAATGCATTTACTCTTTGCCCAGAGAGAGAAAATGAGCCATTGTGTAATTTGTGCTGAATTTCTTCATTACGGAAAACTGCATACAAGGGTCCTTTTTATACTCACTTACGAACTGAAAAAGAAAGAGAATAACTAACTGAAAATCAGTCAGTTTTACCTAATAACAGTAAAAGTAAAAATCCTAACTACATTACAAAATTACAAACACGTGCTATTTTAATCGAAACGTCACATGCTGGGCACGTGATCCTCTCTTCCAAGCTGTATTTTATTTTCTTTTCTTCCGTAGCTCCTGTGCAAGCATTTGTTCTGACCAACCTTCCTTTCATCATTGTGACTAATAATTTTGGACAAAGATTAATATTCACCCTCTTTTTTCATTTCTTCCTATTTACCTACTTAGACAGTTTACTTCGACAATAATAATTTAAGTTACCTAGATGATTAAAAAATTGGGTATTAAATTATTGTTGTTAACTCATGATTGGACATCAATGAATGATTTAATGCATTACTGAATTGCTATCGAAGAAAAACACATCCTGTTTAGTATTGACTACCAAATTATAAATTACTATTTAGGTAGGTAAACAATAAGAGCAGGAAAAACAAGGCTATTTATTTTCTTGAAAGAAGTTTTGAACGTTAGTATCCGTTTGGTAATGGAGAAATGATTTACTGAAAAAAAAATTTATGTAAAATATTTTACAAAATAATTTAATATTTTTTGTTATTTAGATCATTTTATGAAAAATGTTTTTCATCATGAGGGAATTGTCTAAGTGTTAAAATAATAAATAGAAGTTGATTGCAAAACAATATTAATATTTGATTTTCACTAATTTGAGATCAAAATTAAGAATGAAAATGAAAATAGACAAAATCAATAATGATATTTCTCAAAGTAGTTAACCACATATCTATAATGAAAATAAACTCTAATTCTGAAAAAATTTTCCATCTTATCACTTTTTTATCATAACTATAAAAATATAAATATTCATCAATTGTGTAAGATATCCAAAATCTATACTTATAAATATGTATTCATTAAATAACGATCATTGAATTATTTTTTATTATAATTATTAGTAAGATTCATTCCATTTATAAATAAAAAATTTAATTGTATTGAATGATTTTATTAAAAAAATCTTTTTAATTTTAATAGGATTGTATAATTTAAATATTAATATTTTAAATTAATTTTTTTAAAGCTAAATATTAATATTTTTATTTTTTAATATTTTAAGTTAAATATTAATATTTATAAAACTTTTACTCATAACCTTAGTAAAGTGTTTTTGTTGTCCTCTAAAAAATGTCTTATGCCCTTCAAGTGCGTAAGACATTTTTCATAATTAATCTTGTTAACTCATAAAATGTTTCATATCTGAAATTAATTTTTCATCCTTCAAACAAGAATAAATATGAAAAATATTTTTTGAAAAACATTTTAGTGCAAAACAAACGGAGCCTTATTTGTTAAACTAATTAATTTGTCTCTCATGTACTAGATATATATCTCTCCTTCAACTTTCTGGCATTATTTATATAAATAAAACTGTGTTAGGTGTGTGTGTGGGCAATACGATTTGAGATTATGGTCACCCCATTTCCAGACAAGCTTAGCAAAACTCAAATTAGATAACTAGTAAGCCTATATCAACATCAAAATAATTCTTTTCTGTTCAATTTGTGCGGCTGGGCAGGGGATGGAAACTTAACTTTCCCAAAAGCGGATGGCATGAGAGAGAATTGTTTGTCATTCAAGGGGGCAGCATAAACAGCTCTAAAGCTACCAATAAGGAAGGGTTGGGTGAAGTTGCATGTATCCAGACCTCAACTCATATTGTCTGGTGCCACTCTTTAAGCAAAAAATAAAAAATTAAACTGAAAGACTCTCATTGCCCACTTTCCCTATTATGAGATCCTTAACTTAGAGCTATGCCCAACAATCCATATAAACAAGATAAGTTATTAAAGTAGAAAAGCAAGAATTAGGTCCTAAACCAAAGTCATGAGTTAACAGGATCCCGGATTTTATTAGTAGTTGGGGGACATAGGGCAGTAGGAAACCTATTTCACATGGCGTTGCCTTGAATGATCAACTCATCCACAATGATACAAAGCCCGTACAAACTTCCGAAAAGAATTTCCTTTCTCAATAAGAGAAGGGAATCTTAAAAGATAAAGGGGCTGGCCATCATGAGGAGAGTACAAGGTGAACAAATAAACAATTCAACCATGAAAAGTCTTGGGCACACTCTTTAAGCTGCATAATTAATTATTTTACAGACCATTGCTTGAGAATTGAGATCAACAAATAATTAAAATCAAGTGATCAATCACCCTCTCAATGTCATTGGTTACAGTACTTTTCCAATAGGGATTAGTGCTTGCTCGATGGACATGATTGTCACACACCTAATTGTATGTTCTTTATAGTGGTAATATCCACTCCTTGTTATACATCAATTAGTGTGGTTAGAGAGCAAAAGATACGAAACAGCTAAGCTTATCTTCGAATTCTCTTCAAAATCTTTATAGATCATAAGCCTGTCCAACATATAGATTTCCCATAATTATATGAAAATTCGTATCGTCATTAAGATCTTTGCATTGATGCTACAGCCCTCTTTGGCCATATGTATGCACTAGTTATAGAAGAATTCTCTTTTTGAATAAAAAGATCATTGCCGGTGGCAATTTTAAATTCCCTTTTAATCTTTTTTTTTTAATTTTGGAATGATTTTTAAGTGGATATGGAATTTGTACTTTGTTAACAATATGTCACGTGCATGCTACATTAAATTTACAAATTAATGACATAAAAAAAATGTGCACAGTATACAGTATTACCTACTTGTGTGGACACATTCAAATTGCGGCAAAAAATGTAGTCGTAGAAGAATTTTTTTCGTTTCCATTTGAAATTTGACTTTCGCACTCTAATTGCACTCTTATGTCCTATATTTTCCCTCAAAAGAAAAAAAAAAGTAAAGAAACATTTAAGAATGAATATAAAACACTACTGTTTATTTAACTCTTAGTTGGCCAAGTCTTATATGTTAGGCAGATATTGGCCGTAGAGCAAATAATTATTAGCAAGAGTAGTAACAGTATTAGTTTAAAAACTTGGGTAATAAGGAGGTGATGTCTTGTCTTTTCGCCCTGAAATTAAGAATTATCCTTTAACCCCATCATCTGCCCACCATGGAAAACCAATCTTTTTGTTCACATACCATTAAACGGATGAAGCAAGCTCTCCTCCATTTATTAATTACTAAAAAATATGAAAAAGAAAAAGATAGCATATGATATTAAATCAATTGAATTATGAGATGGGATATGCCAACGAAAGAGTGACAATATGACACGACGTCGAGAGGAAAGTTTGGTTAATTTTTTAAGTGATGAATCAAAGCAACCCTCCAAAGTTGGAATGACAGAATTTTTTAGTCTGCCTAAAATCTTTATGAAACGTGCACAAAGAGCCACCTGCCGACTTACTATAGTCTTACTAAAATAAAAGGTGTAAATTCTGCAGTGAAAAGGAGGAAGTGCCCACACCCAAAACTTTAACACGCTGCCAAGGCCAAGCCCACATTTTGCCACAAGCTTGCCTTGGAAGAGATTGCGCAGAATCTTTTTTGTCATAGGCCGATGAAAAGGCCTTTCGAAGTCGTAATGACATATGTGAAGGTCTCAAGGGATAAAGTTGTAAGACAAGAGCCCTCTTACAAGCGTATCTGCATATTTAAAACTTCCCATTATCCCTGGAAGATACGGCTTTGAACCCTGTAAGAGTCTTTGTTCAATGTTTCCTTCTCATCAAAGTGATGGCTTCCTGTACGAAATCTCTGATATTCCCCACCATCAAGATTTAATGCAGCAAAATCTGACAATATCTGGGGAAGCTTCCGCAGGGGGAAGTACTCTCACCCAGAGAATGGCAAAAGGCAAACGACATAAAAAGTTAGCAGCTGCTGCCAACAGTAATGATGGGAATGCTGCTGCCAATAATGATGCTAAGAAGATCATGCGCAAGGAAATCGAACGGCAAAGGAGGCAGCAAATGGCCAAGCTCTATGGAAAACTTAGATCATTGCTCCCTCTTGAGTCAATAAAGGTCAACAAACTATCTCTTTATTTATTCATTTTTTGACTCCCTTATTATGTCGTTTAACTTTACTAGGTTTTCAGTAGTATTCTCAAGACATAGCTACCCGTTACAGTTGGTACATGTTCGTTAGAAATTAGCTCTTTGTGGAGATAAGGGTTTTTTGTCTCTCTCTCTTTGTAGGAGTAATTATATATGGCTAGGGTTATCTTGATGGGGAACTAATTACAGGGAAAACGAGCTGTTTCCGATCACATGAACGAGGCAGTGAATTACATAAAATATTTGAAGAAGAAGATCCAAGAATTGAGTGTCAAAAGAGATAAGCTCAAAAAGTTGTCCAATTTGACTGCCTTTGATCAAGGGAGTGCTAGTTCATCTGATAACTCCTCGTTGATCAACTGTGTTGCCGTCCACCCTTATGGGGGCGGAGTGGAGATTGTGATAAGTAGTGGCTTTGGAGACGAAAGCTGGCATCTCTCTGCAATGATGCAAGTTATTCGCGCAGAGGAGCTTGACGTTGTCCGTTGTATCTCCAGCCAAACAAATGAAGGGTTTTTGCACACTATTCAGTCTGAGGTACATACATCTAACTCCATTTAATATCCCCCTCTTTTTTTCCATAATTAATTTCTAGTTCTAGGATTTAATTATGCATGCAAGTTTTAGCATTATTAATTAATCATAAACATGTGATTTTCTGTGTCTTGTTGAATTTGTCTTTCAGGTTAGTGATCCAGCTCATCGGCTTGATCTACCCGGTTTGAAAAGCAAACTAAATGATTTGATCTCGTTTTGAGATACGCTTCTCACTGATGATGCTGTGTAGGCTGCGTCCATTATGAACTGCCACAAGCCCATCTCCGATATCTATAACTCAGCTTTTGGTACTTTGCTTTGCTATTCTATCTAGAACTTGGAACTATCTGTAGTTGTGTTTTTGGTGAGTTCTTTGTGGAATGAGAAAATATAATATCAATGATGCAACTCCTCCGAAATTAACTATTTGTAGGGAAAGTATTGTGTTAACTTAGAGAAATAAATCTTTGGAGGGAACTATGGTCTGTGGCTAGTGACGTAAAACAGGAAATAAATGACCATGTTCCATGACTGAGAAAAATTTTGCTTTAAATTAATATGCTCATTAACATTTTCATGCTCTCCTCCTAGTTATGTATTTCAGTTGAAGTGATGTGATACCAAATACACTAGCAACTTAATCAGTCCAACTTACTTTAGTGACTTATTGGTAAGTTGATTAATATTGCTGCAAGGTAACACTTAACATCGTTTTAATTTCTACCTTCAATTCATGAACATTGATTCTAATCAAATTTCATTACATATGAGATCATATCCAGCATATTTTTTTTTCTCAATAATATATCCAACATATATATGCCTTGTGCGGATTTTGATTTTGTTCTGTTTTTTTATATATTTATTACATTCTAGTAGTGAAATCAATCCATTGAAATTCTTACTTTAAACTATAATAATCTGTGGATGGTACTTTACATTGGTGGGTACACTTTCTTGCAGTTTTTGCATGCTTGCCTGCACATTAATTCATAACACAGGTTTTGCCATACACGGATTAATTTGAACAGGCAGCAGGTTGCTTGAGATTTTTTTGGGAGACCAGTGGGTGGGGAGGGGTTGTTGGTGGTAGGGGGTAGAAGATCCAGGAGCAACCACATGAGAACAACAAGAGAAGCCTGCGACTTACCCTTGTATATATCGGGAAAAAAAAGACATTGGTTAGTAACAATGACAATATCTGATGATTAAGTGAAGTTATAAATCGTTAGATGTGATAAGTTGGTAATTGGAAACAAGAACAACGCATTTACATGAATGAAGTTGCTGCTAGATAGTCTTTCGGTAAATTTTGTATCAAGAACGCGAGATTGAATCTTGGACTTGATTAAGAATTACTGGGTGTGGTTAACTGAAAGAGAGGGATTATATATCCCACTGTCCGTCTCAACTATTGGACCAAAAAGAGTAGTAGTCACATCAACAGGTCAAGCTTAGTCTAGACACAACCACTTCACCATGGAGGAATATCAAATTTCCTATCTACAAGCTGTTTATAGTTATATAAATTCCTTCTGGTTTGAGTTCTCAACAGGTAAAGCCTCCGCTAATCAGTGATCATCAGCAAAAAAGTTCCCTAGTGTTACTCGTTCTGTCCTGCCTTTTCTCTCCTGAAAATGAAAAATCATTGTTATGATTTTGAGGAAGTTCAGGAGAGAGGGGAGGGGGGGAATTGAAACGTTTGACCTTAACATTTCTTACAAGAGGTAAAAACTTGCAGGCAAAATTTGAATTGTTAGTTTGGTGTCTTTATGCATAATCAACAAAACGAATACAAATGATCACGCCATTATATAAGTTGATATGTTGGGCAATGGGCATTTTTAAGCTACTTCTGGAGATTTATGAATATTGATGAGGCTGCCAAGCTTTCTTTCTTCTCTTTCCTATTTTTTGTTTTTCATTTGTGGTGGAATGACACTTATATATCTAACAAAGTTGACATAGCACGCATAAGCAAAGCAACAAGATCTCATTCTGAGATCTTAACTAGCATCATTAGGTTCATTGTATCAATCCGTATAAGGTCAAGCATTTATCTCTACTTCAAGTGGTGAATATGTGTAGAGCTACAGCATCCCATGATGGATAGTTTGAATTCTTAGATTCATGCCTATGCTTCCTTTCTTAGAGTTGATTTTAAATTGTTTTTGATGTGTGATGCAACTATACCATATTCTTTGTGTGTGTGTGTCTGTGTGTGTGTGAAAATCATCAAGAATATACAGTTTTACATAGCTAAATTTAGTTCTCCGTAGCAGGAGACATATATTTGGTTGAATATGAACATTGAATGAAGGATAAGTCATGATTTTGTGTTGCTTGTTATTTTCCATTCTATCGATTTCTGAAAATCAATAGAATTGTCTAAAGGTTTCACCATCAGTTAAGGTTTTGAAAGCCTTATCCTGTTCTAGGAGCTTTTATTAGGAAGTGGTGCTCTAAAGTCTAATCATCTTAACTTCTTTTTATTGCCATTATTCAGTCCCCATGTATCATGTATTCTTGTGCTTATCGAAATGCCATTACTTGAATGCTTACAGCAATTCATTTTTCCTTTCTTAAATTTGAGATGTAGAGAAATACAATGGCGAGTGATAACAATGTTAATTTGTTCCCACTTGCTTCTCTATTTATGCTTCCACTAGTTTCGTACATGATGGTTTGGACTCTGAGTTTCTTTTACGGATGGTTTCGGTTTATTTTCTTATGTTTTACAATACAATTTAAAGTGACTATATCTTATTTTTTAAACTTTTAGCTTATACCAACGTTTGATATTAATAAAATTTAATTTGAATAAAAAAACCCCTAAATCAATAATATATATAAACTAAAAAATTTCACTAATTATTAAGTATGTAAATATACCCACGGTACATGCTTATGAGACGAATGTAACATGAATGCTGCTCTTTCTTTCATTGATTTGTTTAGAAAAAAAATATTTTCTAATTTAATTGATTATTTCATTTATACAAAATATTCTTTTTTATGGTTATTTGTTTCCAAATTGAAAGTATTTAATCAGCTTAAAACTGAATACAAATAGAAAAAAAATCCGTACCTCTTTGTTTTTTGTTTTAATTAAATACCTATAACCCAATCAGGATTTTTCATTTAAACTAACCAGACTTTCTATTTGTGCCATTTAAATGTGCCTCAGCCAATCCGTTTCTTACTTACTTGACACAAGCTTTTCTAATTAATTGGTAATACTTTTTCTTTTTTGGAATTTAATTAATTGCTAATGCTCAGAAGAAGAAAAATATTTTGGTCATTGAGGCTGAATCCTCTCTCTCTCTCTGAGGTCTTAAAATAACATTATATAGGTCGAGTCCAAGACCTATTGGTGCATGTGGCCTGTGGGCTTCTCTAGTATCAGCTCTTTCAATGAGCCCATGCCCAATCAGCAATCTTAAAGGTAATTGAGTCATTTTAGAGTAGACCTTGGTTCAGGCCCAGCCCATCAAACCTTTTTCTTTAAACTCAAGCCTGAATTGGGTCTATTTAATTTTTATTATCTTATTTTTAAAAATAAAATATTATTTTGTATTTTAAATTAAAATATATTATTTATAATATAATATTTTAACTGGGTCTAATTAGTACTTAAAATTTCATAGCCAAACTAGACCCATTGACGTATTTTAATCGTCAACAGCCGCCCCAAACAACACCTTGAGCCCACAGGTTCAAACCTCCCCCATGTACCCGGCTCTCCCCATTTTATTTTCCAGCTATACATATGAGGCTATTTCCTTGCACTTGTTTGGAACGTAAAATTTGTCCATGTCTACCGTAATTTTTGCACTCCTGTCTTCTGATATGATCTCAAAGAGTACATATGTAGTCCATCGTCAAATTGCCAAAACGTTAATACTAATTAATTAAATCCTTTTTTGCGTAGAGTGATTCCTCTTAATGGAATTGATACGGTTGATTGTCCTCGATGGGTGGCGTTTTTCTCACTAATTCAAACTGGAAGTTCAAGATGGTACGGTTAAGATCGTTCCATTAGAATTGGATCATGCTCCATTACGATATGTTCAACCAAATGGATGCTCCAGATGTATTGATAGCTGTTGATCGAGTCAATCATCTTGATGTGGGTCCCTGAACCGAGTTCTTGGGATTTGAAGGAGTCACTTTTCATCTAACGAAAGATATTGAATGATTAAAACCATGATTACCATTTTACCAAATTGATTAATCGTGCTGTATGTCGTATGGAAAGTATAGAATAATCCTTTAAGAATGTTTAATAAGTGAGAGAATAATGCGATGTTTCCAATGGAAAGTAGATTAACGCAATGACGACAAGAACAAAACTTTAATTAGCTTAATTGAAGGCTTCAGATAGAAGTGTGTCCACACCATTATGCTCCAAACTCCTTGACTTCCTAGTTCCTAGGCTGCCTTTTGTCTCCAGTGCCAGAAGCTATTTTCTTATTCAGAAATCTCCGATAATATTCTGCTTTGCTTCTTTCCTTTGTATCCCCAGCCTGGTTGTGTGTGTTCTGTTGACAACTCACTAATTTTCCTCGTACTCTTAACCTTTTCTACCGCAGAAACTATGAACTGGAGATGTTTACTGTGTTGCATCTCTCAAGAAAAAGAAGAGATCAGGTAGGCCTTTCTAGAATTAATTTTGGCTAGACGTTTTCTGGGTTAATTTGCCATTGCCCCTTCTAACTTTTTGGATTCTTTTTCTTAAAGGGTGAAAAAGAGCAGGGATTACCCCTGGGAAATATACTCTATCAAGGAGCTTCTGCACGCAACAAACAACTTCCACAACGATAACAAGATTGGCGAAGGCGGATTTGGAAGCGTATACAGGGGCCATACAAGTAAAGGCGTCGAGGCAATCATATGTTTTCATCTTTTTCTCTATTGCTTGATCTCCATAGCTAGTGGAAATGAAATTATGCATAGTAGTTTCTTTTTGCTTTTGTTAATTATGTGCAGCAAACATGGTGTTACAGATAGCAGTAAAACGCCTCAAGGCGATGAGTGCCAAGGCAGAGATGGAATTCGCTGTGGAAGTGGAGATTCTTGGGAGAGTAAGGCACAAGAATTTGTTAGGTTTGAGAGGGTTTTACGCCGGTGACGATGAAAGATTAATAGTCTATGATTTCATGCATAACCATAGCTTGATCACTCATCTGCATGGCCAACTCGCCGCCGATTGCTTACTAGATTGGCCGCGTAGAATGAGCATAGCCATCGGTTCAGCCGAAGGTCTAGCGTAA